TTTTCTTCATTAAAAATGAAGATAATTTTACCACAAAATAAAAAACAATTAAACAATAAAATAAAATATAAAAAAAATATTAATATATTTATTATATTAGATATAACAACATAATTAAAATATAATTAATAATATATATTTTATAAAATTATTAATATTTTATATATAAAAAAAAGAATGAAAAAAATTTTAGTGGGGGCAAGTGCCCTCACTATGATTAACTTAGATCTGTCCCCGCATATGGTTGTGTGGTGAAATGTTAGTCCTGTGTATCCTCTTCCTTTACTTCAGGTTCTACCTCTTCAAGAACAGGTTGTTGTTGGGGTACATCGTTAATGACTTCAAGGAAAAACACCATGTCATTTCATCCTTTACTGGTTTCAATTAGGTCCCTAATAAATTAATTGGTTTCAATGTGAGACTTCTGTCCAAATTTCTTTAACAGTATTAACTGTTGGCCACGTGGATGCCACGTAGATGACACGTGAATGCCAATTTTTTTGAAAATACCTGGAACCAGAACGGCCCGTTCTGAAACCAGAACGGGTCATTTTGGTTTCACTTTTAGTGTGTTAATTTTACAACTGGAACGGGCCGTTCCGGATGCAAAATTAACACATCAAAAGTTCAACCAGAACAGCCCGCTCTTGGTTCAGAACGGGCCGTTCTGGTTCCAGTTGTTTTCAAAAAAATTTGCCATCCACGTGACATCCACCTATGCATCTATGTGGCATCCACGTGGCAAACAGTTAACTCCATTTAAATAATTTAGACGAAAGTCCATATTGAAACCAATTCATTTATTAGGGACCAAATTGAAACCAATTAATTAGTTTGGGACCAAATTGAAATAAAAAATAAAAGTGTGACTAAATTGAAACAAACAATTATTATAATGGGACTAAAATAGGTTTTTAGCCTTTTTATAAATATTTTATTATTTTTAAAAATTTATTCAAAGTTACCAAATTTTATAAGTTTCACTTTCTCTAGGTATTATAATATTTAATAAATTTAAATCAACACCTATATATGGGTGTTAAAAATGTTTTATTGTTAATAGTATTTAACCTTCATAATAAAATGTATATCAAATTTATTAATTTTTGTTACCACCTAGTTTTCGTGTCTTAAGAAATTTGTTAGTTTTTTTTTTTACCCTTTTCCCTCTTTTCGTGTTTTTACTTATTTTTAGGAGAGTTAAATTATTCTAATTTATGACTAAATTTAATTAAGATAAGAAAATTTTCTTAAATAGATACATGTTTTTTTTTTCAAACCAAATAAGATACATGTTAAAAAGGGGATTATTTATGGTATTCATTTAATTAGTCCAGATTTTTAATTAATTAAAATATGTTGTTATAAAGTTTAATTAAGTAATATCATAAAGTTTATGTTATAATAATAATAATAATAATAATAATAATAATAATAATAATAATAATAATAATAATAATAATAATAATAATAATATAGTATATGAGATGTTATATTATTATATATATGGTTGTTATAAGGTGTGGTCCTTTGATTTTAATTTCAAGAGAATTGATGAATGATTCCAATTAGTGAGTTGGTTATTGAGATGGATCCACTTGAAACAACTTAGAGCCTCGATGAGATCGTAGTGATCAACCTCAATGGAGTTGTACACTGTTCATGACGCAAATCATTTTGTATTTGTAACCATGATAGTTTCTTGTTCATGGCATGGAGAGCATCTTCCACATCTTTTGTGGGTTTCAGAGGCATCGCTGAGAGTAGGAAAAAATAATTATAGGGATTTTCCTATCCTTATTAATTAATGACTAGGCTAGCAACGAAAACATTTAAAATTAGAAAAGCTATAATGATAGCAGTTATAGTATCGGAATAATCTGCACCATTATACATAACGTTTGTTAGTAAAAAAAAAAAAAAGTTAAAAAATAATTTTAATACAATAAAAAATTTTACTAGTTTTTTTAATTATATTTTGGTCTCTATTTTTATATAGATTATTTTTACTTTTTATTTTACCAAGAAATCTTTTTTTTAGGAAAAAGAAACTTAACTCATTTCATTCATAATAAGGGAAGTAATACATGTAGGAACAAAATCAAAATAGTGGGGACTAGCATGTGATCCCGACACCCTTGCTAACTAGTGGACGACATGATTGGTTTGTCTCAGGATAAACCTAACCTTAAGGTTTTGATGAGAATGCAACAAGGATCTACATTGATTTAAGATGATCCCATATTCAGAGTGATGAACAGATGAGTCATTGAGATTATCAACAACTTGTTTACAATCAATTTCTACGGGTACATGTTCATAAGGGGACGTTATGAGCCATTGAAGTGCTTCTAGAAGGGATGTTGCCTTTGCTTCATGAGGAAGAGGCAAATCAAGAAATATTCAAGTCACACATTCAAGATAATGTAAACAAAGAAGTTATAAGAAGGGTATCCTTATCACTTGAATTGAAAGAGGGAAAAATAATTGAAGAAATCAAGAAGAAAGAAGAACTGTTCTGTTGAGAAAATTTTATCCATGCTTTCCCTATTTCTCTTTCTATCTCTGGATTTTCAGTTTCTTTTTTCTGAATTTCTTCATTATCGATTTTACTTGAATGTTGTCTTCACTATTAGTTTTACGTTTTTAAGAAAGTATTTGTTATGTTTCAACAGTAATCAATACTTTTTTAGTTAATTTTTATTCTATTGTTTCTAAATTAAAAATATTGATCATACTTCCTTAATCTTAAAATAATGATGATTATCAAAAAGGTGATGATGAATGCTCATGCAAGTGACAGTTAATGAAAGGAGAGAAGTGTGTAGTACTATTGTTAGAGCCTTGATTTCCTTTGATGTCAATGTTGGATTATTATTGACATCTTTCAATGAGATCAGAACATCCAGCAAGTCCTCTTCAATGGTCTTTGAGCCATCTTTCCATTGTTTGATTCTCTCTTCAACGATTGGATCATGATACTTCTTCATCATCTTCAAACCATTCTTTACCTTTCTCTTATGGCCATCTAAATCAAGCATCCCTAACCAAGGGATATAATCAGAAACTGAAAAGGCATAAACATGTTTAAGCAACACGAAAATAATATTCACATGTTCTTCTTCCTCTAAACCAGGCCCTCCATCCTCCCTACCCTTTCCAAAGTACCTTGTATTAAAAATCAATTTCCTAGCTACATTACAACAATAATGTTGTGCAACATTTCTAACATTCACAAGAGCATCATCACTCGGATTTTTGCATTTGTGGTAAACATAAAACATAATGTTATCGGCTTCTTCATTTCTTTTGTCTTGAAGCCATTGATGCCTAAGTGGGGAGAACAAGTCATTGACAAAGATTCTCCTCATTTTCTTCCATTGTTCCCCAAAGGGTACAATAGCTATTGTCACATAACCACTAGAGATGATACCAGTGGCCATGGTTAGTGGTCTAGATGCAAAATCAACATCATGCTTTCTCAAAAATTCACAAGCAATTGTAGGACAAGTCACTGGGATTATGTTAACATTTCCTAGGCGGATACAAGCGATTTCAGTGTTCATTTCTTTCATAAGTTTATGTATCCACCGAAATACAGGCTTGTTAACAAGCATTTCGGGAAGGTTACCAACTAGAAGCCATGGTTTGGGACCTGGGGGCAATTTGAACTTCTTAACTAAATGATATCCCAAGACTTTGATAATGGTGAAGCCAAAAATCATAATAAGCAAATAAATTAGAAATAATTTAAGGTGCAACCATGAAAAATAGAGGGCATAACCCATAACGACTGGGAAAAGGGTGTTCAAACAAAATGGCGTTGGGTTTTAACTTTGAAGACAAGTGTATGAAATATTGCTAAACTCTGGTGATCACTTCGAAAGTTGGGTGCCAATTTATAATGGTCGATAAAGAAAAAGTAAATTATGGCTAACAATGAATCAGAGATCTATATTATGTTATTTATGTAAAAGATTTAAAGGTATTTCTTATACCTCATCAATATATAATTTTTTGCTGTTCAAAAATATATAATGGTTGATAAAGCGCTCTACCTATACACCCCTGGTTCTAGCCTTAGGTGAACCTTCAAAAATCAAAATCGAGATGTGACATGTATACACCTGAAGACAAATGCTTGAGCTCCACAAGTGAAAAATCTGTGCACTACGCTACAAACTATATACAACGTGGACAAAGTAGTAATAAATTTTTTTTAATATATAGAAGAATCGTAATACTTTTATTTTTAAATATAAGTTCTAACTATCTAATTCATTATAAGTTAAAAAAAATAGTGAATTTAATATATAATAATAAATTTATTTTATTTATATTTTTTTCAAAAATTATTCCTATACTATATTTTTTCATTAATACTGTTATATTATCTAATCAATTTGACTATACGACTTATACTTTTTTAATTAATACTCTTATTTTTCTAATTAATTAAGATGTATTTTTTTAAAAAAAAATATTTTATCAAATTAAGAAAATATAGTTACATGCGAGATAAATAAAAGGGGAAAGCTATAGGACCGTGCGAAAATGAAATCAATTTTTGGCCATCGGTGTAATTTTTACTAAGTTTTATACCACTTAATAACTTTATATTAAATGTGAATTTTATAAATCCAACCGTTAAATTAAAAGTTCATATCACTTTATATGTGTATATCAAATTTTGTTAAAATTGAACAACAACTTAAAGGTAATTTAAGTGTTCATATTTTAGTATATTTTGAAATTAATATATTACATCAATTTTGTTTTATAATAATGAAGTATCAAATTATCTTGGATTAATATAAAATTTTGTATATATGATCTAAGAGTAAGAAACTTTCAATCTAATGATTGGATTTACAAAATTCACATTTAATATAAAGTTATTGACCGATTTTGGTGGTCGCTAAAACTTGATTTTTTTGTAGTGCGTGCTTCCATTCGGTTCTACTAGCTAGAAATGATCCACTAGAGTCTCTTACACAAAGCCCATATCTAAAGGTTACATACTCCTTGAAGAGTGCAACATCTATGTTGAAGAAGTATGTACCTGTAGGGGGTTTCATCCAAGCAGAAGGCATTGTTGAAACAGGCGTTGTAGCATCCTTCTTACGTGCATGTTGCCGCATGCATGGTAGTGTTGTTTAGTTAACTAGATTGAGATGCTCGATGGGGGAATACTATCCATCCACACTTAGTCATTCCGACGCTTCCAGATGCACCAAAGCATGAGCGCAAAGGAAATTAGCTTGGGCCTTGTCAAAACCTGCAGTATTTTCCACATTGTGTCCATGAAGCATACACCTTGTTCCACGACTTAAGAAATATATGGCCAACCACTCGAATCCTCCCATATTGTTCTAACAAATGGGCAACCATAAAAATGTGCCATTCTTTCTCCTGATTTGAAGAGAAATGGGCACATAAGGAAGTGCATGGTACCCCCTTCAGTTGTAGTTTCATTCTTATAGGAAGGCAACCCCTTAGCAATCTCCAGAGGAAAATATGGATCGTGTGAGGGAGCTTTAGGCGCCAAAGATGCATCCAATCCCCTTGAACTCGTAGTGTAGTATTAGAGATGACATTTTCCATGATATGGTGGTATGCAGATTTCACGGTATATGTGCCTTTCCTGTTTGGCTGCCATGTCAATGAGTTTGGCCGTGATAAATTGATGGAGATAGGATGGAGCAATGGATGGATTCTTGTTCCTTTTGTCCTCCTCCGAATGCACGATCTTCTCCTTGAAGATTCCACCGATTAGATTGATGAAGAAGAAGGGAGAAACACGTAGAGAAGAATCCTAGACCATGGATGGAAGCATCCAAGCTAAAGACTCAAAAGAAAGCTCACTTCAAGGTTAGGAAAGGTAGGTTTTCCTAAGTCTAGGGTGAGGTTTCCGGTGACCTTTGAGAGAGAATGAAGCTGAATATTTTCATAAGTTCTCTTAACATTCAAAAGTGTTTACATGATGAAAGAAACAAGCACTTATAGGCATGGAATCAAGCAAAGTGGTGCCACCACCATGTGCTCCAAGGTGGCGCCAAAATTTGAATTCAAATTCAAATTTGAATTCAAATTTTGGATGTCCCACATGGTAGCCATGTGCAACCCCCCTTCTAGAAACCTTAATTAGATTTATGTGTAATTTAGGGTTCAATTGAGTGATCACATGTGCAGCTACCTTTGGCACAAAACATGTGACTTAAATGCAACTCTAATTACTCCTAAATGTAATTAGACTTCTATGATTTATGCCTAAAACTTATTCCTTTTAAATTCCTATTCTAATGGCCTAAATACAATGGCCAAGCAAATACAATGGAAAGAAAAAATTACAAGAATGAAAATGAGCCCAATATTAGGTACCAAAAGCTCAAAGGCCCATGAAGTCCAAAACTAGGCCCAATAAGCCTATGGCCAAAAATGCTATACTATGTGGTCCAAAATACAAGACCAAAATATATGAAACCTATACTAATATAATATATACAAAATAGAAGAAAATGGCTATCTCAAGTTGTGGCCCATGTGAAGAGCAAATTGGGCCTTCTAGGCTCATCGGGCCCATTGGGCCTTGACTGGCCCAAGTCGTCATGTCTAGCCCATTCCTCTTGACTCCTTCAAGATGTCACCTCTTGCCCTCCTAGGCATGATTCCTTCATAAATGAAGTAGCAGCATGGCCAAAATAGTTTATGCATCCTACTAGTTAAAAAGAGCGCGGACACGATTGGTGTCCCACCTGTGGCGAGCATGGTCAATGATGTCATGAACTGTGAGAGATTTGCTTCCATGAGGGGCTGTAGATGAGATATATATGGGCTTTGAGAGTGACACAGCCACGGGTCCTTCCAGAGGTTTATAGATGAGCCATCACCAATGCACCATCTAGTTCCTTGTTGTACCAATACTTGTGAAGTGTGGATGCTTCGCCAAATAAAGCTTAGGTTGTGGCCCAGACGGGCTCCCAAGAAGTCCCCTTGAGGTAAATATTTAGCTTTGAAGACATGTGTGAATAAAGCATCTAGTTTGGATTGGAGATTCCAACCTTGCTTCCTAAGCATGGCCAGATTGAAACCGTGGAGATGCCTGAAGCCTATACCTCCATATTCTTTTCGCATAGTGAGCTTTTCCCAACTGAGCCAATTGATGCCATGACTTGAGTGCTGATTAGAGCCCCACCAAAAGGAGTTTAACATCCTTTGGATCTCCTCCTCCAGACTAGTTGGAAGGAGGAAAGTACTCATATAGTAACTTGGGATTGCTTGAGCTACAAACTTGATAAGATTCTCACGCCTAGCCTTGGACAAATGTTTCCCAGTCCAATAATGGATTTTCTTCCAGATTCGATCCTTGATATAGGAAAATAAAGCTCTTTTATTGCACCCCACCATAGATGGAAGACCCAAATATTTTCTTGTACCCAAACATTCATGCACACCTAGGATAAAGTTGATGGATGCGCGCATATCCTAGGTGGTGTTCTTGCTATAGTATATTTATGACTTTTGCATGTTGATAGCTTGCCCTGATGTGTGCTCATATTGCTTAAGGATGTCGCGAAGGGTTGAACATATTCACGTACATTAGCTTTATAGAAGAAGAAAAAAAAGAAATCATCCGCAAACAAGAGATGAGTGATTTGTAGCGCACCTCTACAAATCTTAGCTCCATGGATGTCTCCTCTAGCCTCCACTTGTTGTAAAAGTGAGGAAAGACCTTCAACATATAAAATAAACAGATAGAGTGATAAAAGGGTCACCTTGACGTAGTCCACACCCCGGAGAAACAGGCCCAACTCCTTCGTCATTCACCATAATCAGGAAAGTAGGGGATTCATAACACATTTGCATCCACAAAACCCATCGAGGGTGGAAATTGAGTTTCAGAAGGAGAGCACGCATGTATGACCAATTGACCTTATCAAAGGCTTTACTGATGTCTATTTTTAGTGCAATTATGCATGTTTAACCCTTAGTTTTGCATTTCATACAGTGATTTATCCAAAATGGATTGTTGTTCGATAAAAACCGATTGGGCTTGAGAGAGATGCTTTGTGGTAAAATAGTTTTAAGCCAATTTGCTAAAACCTTTGACATTATCTTATATGTGATGTTACATAGCAAGATGGGTCATAGGTCCTTCATTGAGCATGGGTCATGCGTTTTTGGTATAAGGACGATATTTGTCTGATAGAGAGGGGTTGGGAATGAGTCTTGATGTAGCCATTGGGATCCAGCATGATACGATTCAAGTCCTAGGAGTTCCCAAAACTTTTTGTAAAATCCAAGATTTAGGCCATCAGGTCCTAGCGTTTTGTCCGCGTGCATGGAGAATGAAGTTGCACGAAATTCACTAATGTAGAAAGGTCTCAGGAGATTGTCATTGTCCGCTTGAGTTATGCGTTGGTTAAGGGCGTGCGTATAACAAGGTCAATCACATTATCGAAGGCTTGAATTAGAGAGTCAAAGTAGGACTTTACTACGTCATGTAGGTCTTTCTGATCATGAACCACCAAGTTGTCATCCCTAGTGAGCTTTTGGATGAGGTTTTGTTTCTTCCGCGTGTTAGCCATGGAATGGAAAAACTTGGTGTTTCTATCACCATCCCTAAGTTAGAAAAGCTTAGAACGCTACTTCCAAAAGGACTCCTCTTGCGTGATTAGAACACTAAGATGCTCCTCGAAGTCGAGAAGACGAGAGACAGATGGAGGGTCTTGCTTATCCTGCAGATTCAGAATACGCTTCCTACATGCTTCAATTGTAGCTTGTGTAGAATATCAGGTGATTGCATTTGTAACCAACATCGAGTCACTAAAGGCGCTAAACCTGGCTCATCC